ACACCCACACCCACACCCACACCCACACCCACACCCACACCCACACCTCACACCCACCCACACCCACACCCACCCACACCCACACCCACACCCACACCCATAAATAGCATATTCAGAGTCAGCGCAAAAAACTGCATCTAACCAAATACTTTCTGGAAAACAAATTTTTTTTTTGAAAAAATCCACCTGTGGTCCCCCTCAGTCCTTTTTCTCTTAAAACTTCGCCGTACCCCTCCAGGTCGATTTTTTGAAAAAAAAAATTTTTCCCAGAAAATATTTGGTTAGATGCAGTTTTTTGCGCTGATTCTGAATATGCTATTTATTTTGCCCTTAAAATGACTTCTAATGGTAAAAGCCATCAAATAACAATTCATTGATGTCTTATTGATAAAGCTTTTGAATATAAATAACGTTCGTTGGTGCCTAAGATAAATGAAATGAAAAAGCGGAATAGTACATCTTGTAGCCCTTCAAAAACTGTATAAGATCATGTATCAACATATGGAAATAAATTGTTTATGTAATGTCTATAGAAGATACAATGGCACTGCTATAGGATGATAGTGTAAAAATTAGTGTTCTATCAAGCAGGTAACATATGATAGACTTTGAAAATGTTTTCAAAATAGCCTAATGGACGTAGTTTTTGATGCTGATCATGAATCTGAAGTCAGTTTTTTTATTCAAGCAAACATACGATATACACGAGCCAATGAAAGGGCAGAATTAATGAAAATTACCATCGTCTGCTAACATTTGTGGTATAGGCTAACTTTTGCTAGCAAGGTTTGAACAATTTGAGTCATATATCAAACAATGCAGAATTTTAAGGGCTTTCAGAAAATATAACTTTTCTTTTGGGACAGAACCATTCACTGTGGTTTTCAGGCGAAATACTAGGAAATTGACATAATAGCCAATTCGCATTTTTGCCTGTATTTTGAACTTATCAATCAGTGAACGGTACTCTGAAAGTTTTAAAATTAGCTAATTTTGTAGAGAAAACATTTCTACATCTTTTAAGACGTCTCCGATCTCAAACTGATGAACCATTGTAGAGAAAAGTGCAAAATACTAGAAGCACTGAAAAATAGCGATTTTTTAACCAAGTCCAGAAGGGTTGTACTACTTGTATGCTCTGGCGCTTTTTACAGAAATGTCAGACAGATCTGATATTTTGAATTTCGGAACTCCTAATGATAGTCTATCGTTTTAGATAGTTAAATCGAAAATCAAAATTTTTTCGGCGATCGGCTTCTTATAAAGTTGGTCGGTCCTCTCATGGACCCTCTCTTAAATATCTAGAAAACTTGCAACTGCATTATTTATCAGTTTTTTCCCATTTGCATTGTTCTATTTATAAAACTTAAATTCAGTTTAAATACGAAAAGTGACAACTTTGAATAGTAAAACTAAATGATCATGGACTCTTTGTAGAGACAACAAGAGCTGCTACGATATTTATATAGTCTATTTCACTTTTTCGGATAGTCAATAGATTTTATTGATTTTTTAATTAGCCCTCTAAATCACAAACACAGCACTGATTCTGCATGTAGTAGAATGTCATTTTATTATACTTTTGGAATTCTATTTTGTATGTGTAAAAGGTAGAGAGCAAAGAATTACTGATTTGAATGTCTATAGGCACAATAACAAGTACTGATGCAGCATTAAAGTTAGCAACTAATACAACAAATACTACTTCGGCATCAGGTTTAGCTGCTAATACAACAAATACTACTTCGGCATCAGGTTTAGCAACTACAACAACAGATACTACATTGATTAGCACGACAACAATAACAGAGACTACTACCACCAGTCCCTCATCGACTAGCACGACAACAACAACAGAGACTACCTCTACCAGTAGCTCATCGACTAGCACGACAACAGCAAAAACTACTACTACCAGTACTACATCGACCAGTACAACAACTACAACAGCAACAACGACAACGTCTACTACATCGACTACTACGACGACTACAACACAATCAGGTAAGTTATTCTTGCTGAAAAATCCTATCATTTTTCTGTCATATATACCACAGTAATGGCATGCACATCAGACGTACATGGAAATTTTCTTATGCTAAATGGATCGACTCCTTCTAGCTGGACTCAATATCGGTTTAATATCACAGCGACGGCCAGATCACATCTCATCATGTTTGGATTTCAGAATGGAAAGAATCGTATTTACTACTTGGATACAGTATCTGTTGTTGAACAAGGTGCATCTAGTATTGAGTTGCTACAAAATCCAAGCTTTGAAAATTCAACAATAACACCAACTGGCTGGGTGCAGTGGTGTATAGACACGTGTAACGGCAATGAAGGACTGGTAGATACTGGTTCTAACTGCTATACAAACTCAGGCAATTGCTTTAAGGATAACTGCAATGCTGCAAATGGTATCGATTTTCTTAGTCAATCATTTCCAACAATAATTGGCGGAAACTACATATTTTCGTTCAGACTTATATTAACTGGATCGGGTTCATTGATAAACAATCACTTTTACGTCGATATGTTCTAAAAACTATGTATTGCTACATGATACTTTCTTTAAAAAAGTTTTTTTTGTGCTCATTTCATTTAATCTTGTCTTTCCCTATTTTGATTTAACCTTTTGTGTGCATGAATATAATTGATTGAACTCTATTCGTATATAATCTCCATAATAAAATAAAATTGGCTCATATTCAGAGAAAAAAGTAAAGGTGTGGGTGTGAATACACATGTACATGCTGACAAGACCTATGCTTGAATACCAACATAGAATAAATTGTCTTTTCTTTTTTCTTCGTAATATCATGAACAGATGACTCGTTTTTGTCGATGAATACAATTGTGAGTCGTGAATGTACAATTGTACTACAACTTAAGTGCAATAGAAAACATGAGATATTAATGAAAGATACTAGTCGAACAGTAGATTTGTTTCTATAAGAAAGAGTTGCGTTCCGAATAGAGAATAGACTCAGCAGGTACTATTTTCAATACCGGAATCAAGATGTTGTCTAATTATTAAAACTAGAACTGATTTTATTTCTGACAATCGTTCGATGATAAACTCAAAATCCGCAGAAATAAGAATCTAACTAAATTAAATAAAAATGTATCAAAATCTCATCGTATCATTATTACAAATGAAATGAGACGTATGTTTTCACACAGATAAATTTGTTCTTTTCCTTTTTTGTAAGGTGCGGGCAATGCAAAATTCGAGTAGATTTTATTTAATTTTCATTTATACATCGTTTGATAGAGCTTGATGAGCTGGTCACGAATATATGGTTTTTAATTTTTTTAGACTATCTGTTAAGTGAAAAAAACTGAAAAAACTCGAAGGGCCTAAAAATTGGAAAAAATAGCTGACTTCAGAAAAAATTCAAATTTTTTTCATTTTTGCTGCGCGGGTGTGGGTGTGGGTGGGTGTGG